TCAAAGCTGTCAGTCTCTTAATTTGTTAAAAGAATAGTTTTGTCCTTGAAACAGCTGGGATTCCTCCAGTTGTCTCAACCGCAGTTTTATCTTGCATCCCCGTATCAGCGTGTCCTGACATGTCGGTGGTGGCATTGGGAAAAGCCGCCATCCCTTCTGACACCCGTCAGGCCAAACAAGGGAAATTTCACGTAAGGGTTTCTGTTGGGGAACGTTTTGCAGCTCTCTGAAAACAAGAGTTTTATTACTATATTTGTTGCTCGCCGTGCAATGACAGTCAAATGCTGTTGCCACGCACTGACTTCTCGCTTTGGCTGTTGCTGTACCGTTAAAATAATACAACATAGAGAGTAAAACCGTGTATTTTCTGTGAGGCGCATAAATACGTTCAAGCGTGTTAGTATTTTGTCTCCCCAGCAGACTGGGGCAGGCACTGTCCCCCTGTCCTCAGCACTGGTGAGTCAACACCTCGAATCCCGTGTTCAGTTTTGGGCACCTCGTGACAAGAAAAACGTCGAGATGCTGGAGCAGGTCCAGAGAAAGGCAACAAAGCTGGTGAGGGGTCTGGAGAGTTACACTGCGCTCGGTGGCGCTGCTGTTTTGTTGCGATCGCTAGAGAGAAACGACGTTTTGCTTTTTCCAAGGCAGCAGTTTTGAGGTGAGTTTCAGTTGGGTCTTGATGGGCAACTTGGGAGGTTCCCCCATCGGAAAGGTACAACATCGAATTTAAATTAAACGTGCATGTGTACGTGCGGAGAAAAAGATGGGGAGACTTACCTTCTGCTTCCTGGTCACTTATTTTGTCCTTTCCTCTTTGTGAGCCGGGATCTGTTGCGTCACAGTTAGCTGAAGGTTCTTGTTATTTTATAAAAAGGTTGTTTCAGGGCACGATGCTGCAGCTTCTCCCTGTTTCCTCGTGGAAACGAACTTGCTGTGGTGCAAAGGTGCGACTGGAGATCCTGCCTGGAGCAGCAAGGGGTGGGTTTTTACTCTGTGTTTTGGGAAAGGAGGCTGCAAACACGGCTGCTGGGGTTGGGGAGCAGCTCCTGGCAAT